TGCATTTGTTATTCCCAAAGTTTACAGCTGCATAATGCTTCCAGATGTTCCAGCCGATGATGCCTGGTGCTATCCTTTTAAGGTTCCCTCTAAGCGTGTGATTGTTGCCTCGCAAGTTCCATTCGAGGAGATGTTGCTTGAAGGAGATGTTATCTTTGAGAATTGGCCCATCTAAAAGGTAAGCAAACTTGCTCCAAATATTTCTGATATTTGGGCATTGAAGGAGGCAGTGGTTCAAAGATCCCTCATGATTAAGGCAGAAGGGGCATATGGAAGGGTAGCTGTAAGAGAACCTAGTTAGGTTATCTGGCCAAGGGAGTGATCTATAATTTGTTTTCCAGTGAAAGAGCCTGACTTTAGGGATTTGTAGCTTGTTCCAGTTAAAATTGTTACTCATTTGGGCTGTCTCCTCCCCCCTGCAATATATATATATATATATATATATATATATATATATATATATATATATATATATATATATATATATATATATATATATATATATATATAAAATATTAATAGTGAAAGTATTGTACTACATTCGTTTTAGAATATTCGTCTGATGTCATTTTTTCGAGCTAAACTTGACTAACTTTAAGGGGCTGTTTGGCAACTTCTGAATGGGTAAGTGCTGAACCAGTAAGAGGTCTGAATCATTAAGTGCTGAACCAGTAAGAGGTATGAACCATTAAGAGCTATTCAGAGGCAAATGTCTGATCAATTCAGATAACAGCTCTTAACCATTCAGACTCTGTATAATACTTAACCATTCAGAGGCAAATCTCTTAACCATTCAGACATCTGAACCATTAAGAGGCTGAAACAAACAGTTTGAACCATTAAGTGCTGAATCATTCAGACATCTGAACCATTAAGAGGCTGAAACAAACAGCCCCTAAACCTTAATTAAGTAAAACTTACTCCCTCCGTCCGGAAATGATGTTCCCACTCTACGTTTTTTTCCGTCCGGAAATGATGTTCCCATTCTACTCTTTAACACATAAACTACCCAAAATACCCCTACCCAAATACTCTATTTTTTTCTCTCCCTCTCCTTTTCTCACCCAATTCCTGACATTTCTTCAACTTTTCTTCTCCCCCACTCCTTTCTTATCTTCTTCCACCCTTTCTCTTTCTCTCTGGATCTCTCTCTCCACCTCTTCTCCTTCTTTCTTCTCTCCCTTCTCTTTTCTCCCCCTCTTTTCTCGGCTTTTTTTAAATCTCTAAATCCTTCTTCGGATCGGATCTTCTCCTTTTTTCTTCCCTAATCGGCCCTCTTTTTTCTCCAATATTGCTCCTTCTTTTTCTTCTTCTTACCCTTCATTCTCATGTTTGATTGACTCCCAGATCTACAACCGATCTGCACCAGATATGACGGTGGCCATGGAAGCGATTGTAGGATCGGTGGTGATAGTGGGGCTAGGGACGACGGGGCATATGTTTTTCTTCTCCCCTTTATTACTCAGTCTTTTTAGATCTTAGATTTTGAGGCGAGCCTAATGGGATTGGCAATTGTGGCGGAGATTGAGGGATTGTGGGCGGCAGTGACGGTGGGGGGTGGGCGGCGATAGTGGGGGTGGGC